ATGGTTCCAGAGATATCGTGATGAGTCAATCATCTGTGGAACTCTCTTTTTTATATATATATATATTATTCACGTCTTGTGGACAGGTTTTACGGAACCTGATTGACTGGGAATATAATCAAACGGATGAAATAATAGTGTCTCGTATTCTGTTAAATGAGTCAGCTTGTTTTCGATAGCCGTATAATGAAACCGTTTCTAGTAGTGGTTCCGTACACATTTCATTATTTTAAAACACCGTTTTTATGTTGACGTTTAAAAATTAATCGTTTTAACATAGGAGTTGAAGTCTCTAAATATTGTTACTATTACGGTATATATATAATAATAACTATTACGGTATTTAACGTATCAAACCTTAAGATCAGAAAATTGTTTTTAGGGTTCCGTACCCAAAGGATAAAATGAGACCCTATTACTAAGTCTCCGCTGTCTGTCTGTCCGTCTGCCACAAGGCTGTATCTCATGAACCGTGATAGTTAGACAGTTGAATTTTTCACAGGTGATCAATTTCTGTACAAATCAACAAATTAAAAAAGAAGCAGAATAAAAAAATCTTTAAGGCAAAAAATCTTATAATAAGATTTTTTGCCGTTTTATTAGATAATGGTACGAAACCAATCGCTAGCGAGTCCGACTCACACTTGGATGTTTTATATTTACAGTCTGTTGCAATCGCGTAAACCTGACTAATCATGAGGAGTAATATAACAACAACAAAACAATACAACGAAACAACATAAACTATGTGTAAACAGCTTAATTACAATGTGAAGCCACTTGGTTTGGTATCCTGTAAAGATTTTGATATAGCAATAGCCTATTAATTTGTTCAAATAAATATTTATAAGTGCTCTCACCAAAGGGTGAAGCATATTTATGGTCTGTTAGAAAGAATCCAATACCAAAGTAAAGTCATTTTTGTGATAATTTAAAGTTTTAATGAAGTATCACTAAAATTATGAAATTGCCATACTATTCTGTATAAACACTAAGTTTAGAACGGTTTGAATAATTTTTAAGGAAATTTTCCAATCTCAGACAATCTCATCGCGTACAGCCGCTACAATGTTGTGTTTTTTCTTTACATTAAAATCTTTAGTTATTTTTCGATTGTCACACCTTGGCTTTTGAATGGTGAATCGTTGAAGAGGTAAGATTTACGATGCTGAACGTTTTGTTTTTTTTTTTTCGCATTTTTTTACATTTAAATTTATGGATGTGTCATAACCAGGTATCATAAATTAAGAAATGCTGGAGACCTGTTTATAATTCCATGTATATTTTAGTAACCCGTATTCTAATTCAGATTAGTCAACTAGGTACCAATTTTTTTTATGTGAGAAAACTGCAAACGAGCTGGCGGTTCACCTGATGTTAAGTGATAACCGCCGCCCATAGACATTTGCAACACCTTTAGGGTTACAAATAGCCGGGGCTCACTTTATTTAAAGGTGGCACTTTTAAATAAAGTGGGCCCCGGCTACCTCACTCACCAGACGAAACGCAGAAGTTCTACTTTACGCCGGTCTTCTGTGAGCTCATGGTACTTACCAGAACGGACCTGCCCATTCGTGCAACAGTGTAGCGTGGCCCTAACACCGTTATGTATGTGAATGTAGGTGTCTAAATGATTATGTACAAAAATACAATATCAGCCAATCGCCGTCCAGTGCTGAACGTATCCATCTGCAGCCCGCCACCTTTCTTAATTCCCGGTACCCAAATTCAATGAACGGTCAATAGTTACCATAGCTTCGTAGCTTTCATAACGACTTTCAGATAAAAGGCGTGTACGGCCGGTCCCTATATTAACAAAACGAGGCGTATTCCTTACGAGCGGTTGCATTACCTACGGAAAGTGAGTTACTAGCGCTCCTTTTTTTATGTCAAAAGTTGCCAAGCGAGCAGGTGGTTCCCCTTATGTTAAGCCCAAGGACATCTGTTACACCCAATTCTGTTTGCAGATGCGTTGACAACCTTTTCCATTTATTATTATTCCATTTCTCCGGCAGCCCGAGTTGGTGCTACTACGATATCGAAAATGAAGAGGTTTTAGGGTTCGGTCGAGCTTGAATCAGCAAAAAGACCATTTTCAACCGACTTCAAAAAAGGAGGAGGTTCTCAATTCCACTGTATTTTTTATGTTTGTTATCTTAGAAGTTTCGACTGCGTGAATTGATTATTCTTATTTATTTGAAAGCTGGTGCTTCCCATGTGGTCCCATATTATTTTCATTGGTATTGAATCTTGGACTCCGGAGATACTTAGGGAACTCCTGAAAATCAATTATAAAATGAATACAGAGTGAGAAAAAATATGGACTTGTACGCATTTTTTGGACGCGTTTACACGGGCGTGTTATCTCTAGATTAAAAAGAAGTGAAAGTGTACCAAACATTTTTTTTAATTTGTTAAAACAAAATAGTATGTCTTACTTCGCAACATGTCTTTATTTGCATACTATCTTAATTTTTGCATATCACTTATACTCATTAAAATTCTTGTTATACCTTAATTTACCTTAACAAGTAAGAAGTAAACACTTGGGATACCTTATTTTACCTTAACAAGTAGATAATAAATACGTGCATTAAAAGTTTTCGTCAATTACAATTACAATTTTATTGTATATAATGTAATAGAGCCTTCTTGGCTCAGTGTACGCGTGATCTCTTTTAATTCAATATATTACACGAGGCACCTGATTTGAAATCCCGACGCTAGCGCCAATGAAATTGTCAATTTTCAATTCTGCATTATCTCGAGCTCAACGGGAAGGAAAACGTCGCAAGGAAACCTGCATAATTTCGAAATAAGAACAAAAATATTTCGAGGATAATTATATGAAGTCTGTAAAATTTGCTGTGGTGTCAGAGAAGGCCTTTGCCCAGCAGTGGGTCCTGTGTAGGCTGTTACTTTAATTGTTGTTTCGAATATATAACTATAAAATTGGACGTATATAAATTAATTTAAGATATTATAATGTGTTTTGAGAAGAACCACGTATGAATGATTTCAGTAAAATGCAACTAATACAAAGCACACTGTGTTATTTCTTTAAACATCAATGTTTACAGAGTTATAAAATTTTCCAAAACAAGGAATTTTAGAACACCCTTACGTATAAAACTGTTACGTAAAGTTCATTTGTAAAGGTCACAAAGCAAATTCATTCAACCCATTCATATGGGTTGAATGAATTTGAAAGAGATAAAACATACTGTTAGAAGGAGAAGCTTGTAATGCGGCGCTGTGGCAACGAATGAAAAAGTCTCTGAATGTGTGAATCAGTCAGTTGTAGTTGTATAGGTGTTACAAATTTTGTTTCTTTTTTACTTAATTAGTTTGTTCGAAAAACATTTTTTTTATTATGGATTTTTTTAACGTTAATGTTTTTTACGATTATTGGCAAGTAGCGTTAGATGTGTGTTCATTTATTGTCGCAATGGTAAGGACACGCTGTATAATAAATATTGTACAAATCTTAAATTTAAGCGTTCACAACATAAACGTGATTTATTAGCAATAAAAATAAAATAGGAATATTTAAGCGAATAAATTTATATAGACCCATATATCACGACACTCCACATCGAAAATAAACGTCGCTCGTTTGACAAGTAATCGGTTTACGTAATACACACCACCTAACTTTTGAGGTGCCAATGACATTGCAAAGTTAAGTTTGTTAACTTTAGCTGCGGTGTGCAGTTTTTTATGTGGCCTCAAAATCATGCAAGTTATTCGGGGTGAAGTAAAACACTTCTTCGTGATGGAGGTGATAACTTAAACTTCGCCGATCCTGTTAAGTTGTGAACCGTGAAGGACAGTGAACTTGCCGCTAAAATGAACTTGTCGTAAAACTGGCACAAGTATGAAAGTTAATTCTGCCCAATTCTGCCTTAATTTCTGCTAGAAACATTCTAAAATCTGAAAGTCCCGAACAAGTGAATGAACGAAACCGCCTGACGCCCTTATGTGAATTAATATTATGTGAATGATGCATTAAAAAATATAAACCGACATAGTCGCGAAAATTTCCAATTTTCAATTGTCAATTTTCAATTCTGCATTATCACGAGCTCAGCGGGAAGGAAAACGTCGCGAGGAAACCTGCATAATTTCGAAATAAGAACAAAAAATATTTCGAAGATAATTATATGAAGTCTGTAAAATTTGCTGTAGGAAGGCCTTTGCCCAGCAGTGGGTCCTGTGTAGGCTGTTACTTTAATTGTTTTTTCGAATATATCACTATAAAATTGGACGTATATAAATTAATTTAAGATATTATAATGTGTTTTGAGAAGAATCACGTATGAATGCTTTCAGTAAAATGCAACTAATACAAAGCACACTGTGTTATTTCCAATTGATTTTATAACGTAACTAGCGAACCGCCCCGGCTTCGCACGGGTGCAATGCATTAAACATATTAACCTTCCTCTTGAATCACTCTATCTAGTAAAAAACCGCATTAAGATCCGTTGCCTTGTTTTAAAGATCTAAGCATGCATACAGACAGCAACAAGCATAAATAGGGACAGACAGACAGCGGGACGCCTTGGTTTTATTCTATACTACCTGCTGCCCGCGAGGCTAGGCTAGGATAGCCAATCAAACTAAAACATTCAGACATAAAGACAGATACACATATATAATATATGTACTTAAGCTATGTATTAGTATATTCTTTTTTTTTATATTGTATTAGTATGTAGTAGTATATGTGTATTAATTATAATTATGTACTATGTATTAAGAATTATTCAATTACTTATTTTAGTCTGTAAGTTAATTTTCATTGTACACACCTACCTATTTTCCTTTGATTACTTATTTATTTTTAATTATTACGAAAGGTTTGCTGGCAGAGAACTCTGTTTAGGGTTAAGCTCGCCTTTGTACAGTCTTTTTTGTAACTGTATTTTTTGTGTACAATAAAGAATGTTCATAATATTAGTAAGGATAGTGATACAGACTTTGTTTATTCTTTACAGGTCCGTATATACCGAGCTACCTGTCGAACATAGTAGGCAGAAAGCCATGCCTGTTTTTGGGAGGCCTTTTGAATCTGACTGCGATCATACTTATCGTGACGACAAGGAATGTTGCGATGGTGTACGCTATCAGGATCATAAGCGGCTTGGGAATGGGAATGGTCACCGTCAGCAATCTCGTGTACGTCGGTGAAATTGCGTAAGTATTGTTTTCTACGTCGTCGCTCTGTGACCACGTAGCGATTTCGGCTGTTGCACGAATGGTCAGGCTCGTATTACTCGGCCGGACCTGCGTCTCGGTGCAACAGCGATAACTATTGCGTGGCCCTAGCACAGTTACTACCTTTAATGCCATTAATTAAAATCATTAATTTATTGCTTAACATATGTATTCATATTATCATTTGCAGAAACCTTAGGACACAACTTTTAAATTGAAAACGTATTTGCTGTTAATGTAAAAAAATCATAAAAAACTAACTTCGCTGCGTCCATACTCTCAGACTTTTTATTTTTGTCATAACATGCAAATTCATTTAGTACTTAAAACATTTTCCTTTTACTTATGGTCGGTCTTGTGGATCCTTATCGGGCCTTATGTTTTTAATTAGTTCAACGCAAGAAAGGATCAAACCATACATCGTTATGCTCGATGTCGGGTTTAATATATTTTTTGCGACTTACATTTAAAGTGAATATACAGCGTGTCTTTACCATCGCGACAATAAATGAACACACATATAGAGGATAACTTTTTAAAATTGTATTAAAGATTTACATTCTTTAAACATCAATATTTACCGATTTATCAAATTTTCCAAAACAAAGAATTCTAGAACAACCTTACGTATAAAACTTTAATGTAAAGTTCATTTGTAAAGGTCACAAAGCATATGAATGGGTTGAATGAATTTAAAAGAGACTAAACATACTGTTAGAAGGAGAGGCTTGTAATGCGGCGCTGTGGCAACGAATGAAAAAGTCTCTGAATGTATGAATCTGTCAGTTGTAGTTGTATAGGTGTTACAAATTTTGTATCTTTTTAACTTAATTAGTTTGTTTGAAAAATATTTTTTTTTAATTATGTAGTTTTTTAACGTTAATATTTTTTTATGATTATTGGTAAGTAGCGTTAGACGTGATTTTATTGTCGCGGTGGTAAAGACAGGCTGTATATTGTAAATGTTTATTTAAGTTCCATATTGTCGGTCGGAAGTTTATTAAACTTTTAATAAGGAAAGTCAAACTGGCTTGTGTAAAAGTGTATAACTTCGGGGACTAAGTTGTATCGAATACCTTATATCGACATAATATATAATATTATATCGGCTTTTATAATTCTTGGATCTTAAATATGTCAGTATAAGACACTATTAGCAGTAGTATTGTTTCAAATTAGACCGTGCTAATCCTACAAACTACTAACAGCATCATGGTAAAAAATAATATTGATGTAATTAAATGAAATTTATGTATCAAATGTATGGTACATTTGATACATAAATTTCATTTAACGTTTGTTTTTGTGTTTTGATTTTAATAGAGACATTTTTGTGTGACACATAAAACACAGTGGGAAATCGAACCAACGACCGCGTGGCTCAGCATCTGCGCTATGTATATATAATAATATTGTATAAGCTTTAAATTTAAGTGTTCATTACATAATAGTGACTTATTAGTAATTAAAATAAAATAGGAATATTTAAGCAAATAAATTTACATAGACCCGTATATCACGACAATCCACTTCGACAAAATAAACGTCGCACACCTAAACTTCGAGGTGCCAATGACATTGCAAAGTCAAGTATGCTGACTTTAGCTGCAGTGTGCAGTCTTTTTACGTGGCCTCAAAATCGTGCAAGCTATTCGGGGTGAAAACACTTCTTTGTGATGTTTCTTGTGATGGAGCGAATGACTTAAAGAAACTTGAGAAGAACTTGAGAAAATTAAATTGACAACTTCACTAAATGTTCACCGATCCTGTTAATTTGCGAACCGTGAAGGACAGTGAACTTGCCGTAAAACGGGCACAAGTGGGAAAAAGTACATTCTGCCCAATTCTGCCCTAATTTCGGCTGGAAACATTCTAAAATCAGAAAGTCCCGAGTTCTACCTCCCAAACAAGTGAATGAACGAAATTGCCAGACACTAGATCAAAGAACCGCAAATGTTGAAATAAAACGTGATAAAATTAGTTAGTATATTTCACTGTAATTTTGTTCGTAGCTTATCGTCACGTTACATAATAAGTTCTTTTAAAAATAACTACGCTATTTTTATTGCATCCACAAAGACACATTTATTGCACAGCTGGTATATTAATTCATGTTCCATACATTATCTTTTGATCTTATTAGAAATAATGAAAAAAGTTTATACATGCATGAATGATGCATTATAAATAAAACGGCAAAGAGTTGCGAAAATTTCCATCACCAATGACTCATCAAGGCACAAATAATGTCATACTTCGGTCGGTAAAACTAAATAAAATAAAGCTTAAGAATAATATAAAAATAAGTAGACAAGATAACGGTACTACCGCTAAAACATAATTATAATAATATTTAATTTATATATGCAATATATATATATATTTTTATTTTTATTTATAAACTCAACCAGAAGAGAAAACAAATGAATATCCCCCCCATAATATTTTTATTTCAGATAATTTTACAATCCATATATGATAGTAAAACGGACACTTAAAATCTAGTGTTAGTATTAGTAAACAGATTTTAAATAACATTATGAAACATGTTCATTATGTCATTTAATGTCTGCCAGACAGACGGGTGCAAGTGATTATTTCCCATCTGGCGGTCAAAACAATCAGGAGAGTATTGTCACTAGTTAACATGCGCGTTAAAAGCGAAGCGCTTCTAACGCATTATAGCGAAACAATCATTGAGTTTTGCTTCAGCAAGCCATACCTAATAGCCTAATACCTACTTGCAAAATATGAAGAACGTCAAGCTGAAACAATCGAGAGTATGCGCAGATCGATGGTGACGTAGTTGCCGAGGACTACTGCTCACTGATGGAGCCTAAATGATAAAAATACTTTTCCTTCCTCATTTTTCCCCAAAGTTTCCTCATAGCCACCGTCTAAGTACTTACAGACGCCGTGTTGACTAGCGTCTAAACAGATAGTTACAGAAGTAAACACGCTTGCCTTGAAGATTCCTCAACATCGTAATCATGGGGAAACTGACCTCGGCTTACATACTTAGTAATTTTCCTGTCCCCTTGAAAAGAATTTCAGCTTTAAACATTCTTTTGACACCCGACACGGTCTTAGAATACAAATCTGTGCAGACTTAAAGCTAAGTCCGTAAATTTTATCTTGTAGATGCTATTTTTTTGGGATAAGCAGCCCATATAACTCACTCCACTCATTCTCATTTAATACATTAATAGGGATAATATCAAATTGGGGTTAATACTGTTGATACTCACGTAGTCTAAAGTAAGACATACTTGTTCTATTATATTGTAAACTAATCGTTTTAAAAAACAGAAACTCTTGAGTTTCTTTCCGGTTTCTTCTCAACAGAAACTGCTTTCCGAACTGGTGGCAACTCAATTTTTATGTAAAATTTTGACATTTCATAAGAACGCGCAAGCGTCTATGTGAATAAATATATTTTTGATTTTTGATTTTGATTTTTGAATTAAAAACTGACGGTACGAGCCGTATACCTCAGTTTCGACGTATACCCCATACATGCAAATGTTTTTGTTCCAGATCTACAAACATCCGTGGTATTCTGCTGACCTCCACGTCGATAATCGGCATTTTAGGGACCCTCGCGGCGTACAGCATCGGCCCATTTGTGTCCTACGCCGCCACTGGTTACATTGCCCTAGTCATAAACCTTATTCACGTAGTTGGTATACTATTCATACCAGAGTCACCAGTTTATTACGCAATAAAAGGTGAGAGAGTTTATATTTTCTATTTCCCCTAAGGGACTATACTATAATGCTTGTTCTTGTTTATGGATAACATTTAAATGCGTTCATATGATTCTTGTTTCTTTACTTTAATTCTATTGTTCTTCGATTAATATATTGAACGACAATAAATCAAATGAAGTGATGTTTTGGAAAATCGTGTCTATGAATATTTGGTGAAATTTAAAGATTAACGAGTTTCAGTTTAAGCAAAAATAGATTAGACACTATTTATCTGATCATTAAACTATAAGAAAAATTTCTGAAATATTTGTTATCTTGTTAAGGTAATATTAAACAGATGTCGGTTTAATCATAACATCATGAAGGTAAGTAAATGTTCATATGCTTTTAAACTTAATGATTTAAGAACAGACTAAGAGCATTGCTATAAGTCAATAAATAATCAAGTTCTACTGATAATTAATATAATATGATAAAATAGAATATGATGAGCTAAATTTTTAAAGGTAATGGGTAGAACAGTGTCAGTTTAGTGCTTGGATATCCAAAGGTGTCAGTGACATCTTCTTGCGAACCGAGTCTCAGATATCCTTCTAATTCTAGCAAGTTATTAGCCTCGGGCTACCTCACTGATTCCGGACTATAGCATACAAGATATAGGCGCACAATAAAAATCCTAGAATAAGTATCTCGGGTTCTGGCGACTGTATGCTGCGACCTGACAAAAATTACAGATATCTAAGGCTGACGTAAAATTTTTGATCCATATGAGTCCCTGCTACAGGGTGTTTGTAATCGTAAAACTTTCGATAGGGACCATTCAGCTACTGATCTAGCAACGTGAGAAATTTTTGTCAACTCCGAAAAAACATCAAGTTGGTTAGAAATAAAAATATTCCCAAATCTTTTTATTTATAACTAAACTTTACTTTTGCATTTTTCAGTCATTTATTTTTCCAGAGGGAAAACGATTTCCGAAGTTTTGACGTTTATAGTATTCGAAATTATTCCTTCAGATCATATTGTTATAATGGCTGTATCTTTAGAGCACTAACAAAAAATTATACAGTGTGGCTTTACAGTGTTTCTAAATGTATCCATTTTTTTATTAAATTCTAGACATAATGTTATATAAAAATGATAAGTATTTAATATCACTCGTAAGTAATTAATTACATTCATTTGAACTTATCTCAAAAAGTGCGTGATTTATACGTAACTTGTTTATTTTACGCGCGATCATTCATAACTAACACGCACACAAGTTCGTACACAGTAAAATTTAGGTATTTATGAATGACTACCGCATTGTCTACACTTTCTGTTTTTTAGGGCAGACTGCATTTTTTTTTGGAAAAAAAAATGGCATTTTTTATATCAATAAATGATTATACTATCGAGTCTGAACCTCCTGCGTAAATTTAGGCACTTCTTAAAAAATCTCCCTGTATGATAGTAAATACCAGATCTAGGTAGAGTCATACTCTGGCATATAAGAACTTGAATAAGGGGCTTGGATTTTTATAGTGGTATATATATACTTTATTGAACACCATAAAACATAAAAAGAAATGTTACAGAATTATATAATCTTAAGAGGTATAAACAATAAGGCGGTCTTATCGCTATCCTATCGCCGGTCTTCTGTGAGGTCGTGGTATCCGGACGAGCCTGCCCATGCGTGCCGAGGCTGCTGTGTGGGCCCTATCACCGTCTTTTTTGTCTACAATATATATAAATTTATTTCATTCTCGCGAATATCTCATATTTAAATTAAACTTATTTATTTTATCAAAAAAAATATTTTAAATATTCGACGTTTCGAATGCTTTACAGCATAAATGGTCACTGGTCGGTCTATTGTCAGCTAGAAAAATATGTTTTTTTGTAATGTTGTATCTTACGCTTGGGATCCCATTATTAATAAAATTTGCATTGTAATCATCACTTATTTTTCGTCGCTAGGCGGATTATTATTTTTTTGCCTCTTATATTGCCTATTATAAGAGAAAATAGGTAATAAATTAAAAAGGAAAATGAATGGGTATTTCAAATAATAAAAATAACCTTAATTAAATCAGAAGAAATTGCAAGGAAAATAAAGGGTAAATGAAAGCTAATTGATTTGTAAATGTGCTAATTACGTATAACGTTGGAATAATACCAAGGTAGGGTACAAAGACAGGTAATATTCTTTTTACATTGTAGATGCTACGAGCGTCATATATTTTTATATAGCACATTCTATTGAAAATAAATTAAAAGGGCAATAAAACATGAAGGCACGACTTTTGTTTTTCTCAAACCTTGATGCAAAAAAAGTTGAGTAAAGTTCACTTGCGTAGAAATCTCTCCAGGTATTCCGAATAATTTATGTCTAACAGTTTAATGAATATATTGATTGAATGATCTGATAATATCAGAGTTTAAATTAACAAAGATTGCGAGATGGTCCCTTCAGGGGGCTCTTCAAAACGCATGCACTTTACCAGAAACGCACTTTACCAGAAACCAAGAGGTCGCATTCAGGCCTAAATGCCTCATACAGGTGTCAGGCAGGTGCAGTTACGGGCATCGGGGAATCGAACAACATGACCCGGGCATCGTCTCAGGGAGCGCACCATCCCCCCCGGTAAATGGCGCATTATGTCGGCACGGACAGTATGGTATAACGCGTGACTCTAAATTTACGTTATCTGTATATGATGCGCACAGAGACCCTTGTAGCGTCAGTGTTTAATGGGAGTCGTGAAACATTATGGTAGCACCACAAGGGTTCCAGGAGACGCAAAATACTGCGCTTCCGTTGGAGGTATCATATCCTGGAGAAGAAGCACTCCGAACGAAGATGCTTTTATTAAAGCCGTATGGATTTAGTCTGTAATGGTTCAATATAATCTGTTCGTCTTCCCTTGCGGGTGGTATGTATCTATAACGGATTTCCAAGCGACCAAAAAAAAGGCAACGTTATATTACACTGTAATATTCGATAGGGAGAAGTGGGGAAGAAAAGTAAGGAAAGTTGACCCCACCACCATGTTAGATATATAGCTTGGAAGAAAAAGAGAGAAGTATTCGATAAGAATAGACTGGCTTTCATCTGTGTGAGATATGAAATAAGCTACCAGCTTATTCTATTGATTTCTTTTATTTAAGCTAATATGAGTGGAAATGCAACAATTTTATGGACTTTATTTCGTTTTATTTTGTTGATAAATTGCCAAAGTTTCGATTACTTTACAGCGTTTATATATCGCGTACGGAACTGTTCTTTGACCGTGAACTCTATTCCACCAAGCGGTCTTTATTCAACATTGCATTTCGATAAAGCATCTGCTTATGCAGATTTCATCAACAAAATGCTATCCATTGCAGGCAAGCAGACCGAGGCGAAGGAAACCCTGCGGTTCCTGGGCCGCGTCGATGACTTGGACAACGTATTCGAGTCAGTCTGGGGGACGAACCCTGACGAAGGCCACAGCTGGAAGGCATGGATCAAGATCTTCACGGTGAAGGCCAACAGGTGGTCTCTTTTCATCACGCTGAGCCTTTGCACGCTGCAGCAGTTAAGTGGTGTGGCCGCTGTTCTCTTTTTTGCCACCACTATCTTCCAAACTGCTGGTTCCTCAATAAGGTTTGTTTTATTTCATGTTATAAATAAAAAGGCAGTAAGCCTTCAATGCTAATTAATACTTCATTCGAATAACGCCTGAAGAATGTCTATAGCAATATCGCAGGTTACAAATTAATCTTACAAATTCCAGATGATGTTAGTTAATAACACATTAGACGTTGCCCTTTCTGGTGTTTTCTTTTAACGACCTAATACACAGCAAAGAAAGAATGTAGTCTTTATTACATGATTAACATTTACTCTAACACGAACTTAAACTGACATGCACAGAGTTTAGATCTAGATAATTAAAGTTAGAAATAGGATATACTCGTATATTTTTTTTATGTGAAAAGTTGTCAAGCGAGCAGGCGGTTCACCTGATGTTAAGTGAATGCCGCTGCCCAAGGACAACTGCTGCGCCCAATGGTTGCAAATGCGTTGACAAACTTTTGAAAATTGGGATCCGGCTACCTCAATCACCAGACGAAACGCGAATGTATTAATTATACTTCCACTTCACGCCGGTCTTCTGTGAGGTCGTGGTACTTACCCGGACGTGCCTGCCCATTCGTGCAACAGCCGAGGCTGCTGCGTGGCCTTACCCTACTTTTATGTATTTGCTATGAATAATTAAATTTACTTTTCAGGCCGGACCTGGCAACTATAATAATCGGCGTGACAAGATTGGTAGCGAGCCTGATAGCTCCGACAGTGGTGGAGAGGGCTGGTCGCAGGATATTGCTTCTCGTCTCCACAGCTTTCTGTGCCCTCAGTCTCGTGAGTTGTTGAGTCATTAGTCTGTTGAGTTTAGAATTAAATATCACTATTTTATTCACTACTAGCTGCCCGGACAGTCTTCGTTCTTTTTTTATAGTATTACTACCTTCCGTGGACCTTAAGGAACATACAAAAAGTAATTAGCCGAATTGGTCCAGCCATTCTTGAGTTATGCGATCACCAACATTCATTTTCATTTATATAGAAGATTTGGAATGAATACTCATAATATCTAACCTTATTTAATGTTACGGTGATTCTTTAATACATGATGATTGTAATTGAAAATATAAATAGGCTGTAATATGCATAGTATGAGTAGATAGCATAATTGCCATTTTTGAAAATGCAATAGTAATGAAGCAAGCGTATAATTTCTTTAAGTTCCCGTGTAAAATATGAAAAATGTTGTTATTACATCTTTATTTACCGTTTTTAATAAAGTATTATATTTAGTATTATATTCATATTTAAAAAATAAATAAAGTATTTTACCCATAATAAATTATTTTACTTATATGGGTAAAAATGTTATTAATTTTACTTCTTTTTGTTTACGCCTCAAATATAAATTATGATCGTCACTGTACACAGGCGTATAACCTTATGGTGGAGCAGACATGTTAAGATAGGATAATGCGCATTGATTTATGAAATAAAAAAAAACTCATCATCCATATTTTATATCACTATAATAATCATAAATTGCATCAGAACTAATCCATCGACTTAACTGATTTTCAACCGAATTCAAACAGGGGTTCTCAATTCGACTGTATTTTTTTTTTATGTTTATAACCTCAGAATTTTCTACTCAGTGCACCTTGATGATTCGTTTTTAATTTTTAAGCTGGTGCTTCCCATGATTGTGGTCCCGTATTAATTTCATTGGTATATCCTGGAGCCTGGATCTTGGGCTCCTGGAACTGCTGAAAATCAATTATAAAATGAATATGGAGCGAGATATTTGAAGTCGGTTTTGGTTTTCGTTAAAAAAGATGACCTATTATTTATTTAAAAATCAATTCTTGTTACAGTCGATACTCGGAACTTTTTTCTACCTGTCCCGAGTGAAGAGTCCTGTCGTTGCAGAAATCGGCTGGCTGCCGCTTATGGCACTCATCATGTATTTCTTTTCATATGAAATCGGTAATACTCTATTTTTTGAATTCTATTATTCGGCTTTCATAATTTTTCCAGCGAGAATTCCATTAATTTGACCTCAAATGCAATGCACGAAGCATTAAGGATAAAATATTATTATCAGATTAGTCTCAAGGCAAAATATTACAAGTTCTCCTCAGACCAGAATGACCGCTGAGAATTAATACAACAGTTTAGATTTTTGCTGATATGGAATTTCACAATAATTTGTACTTTGTATGTAGGTATATTTGTAATAGTTGTAGCAGATTTGCAGATCCTTAGTGCCTTTGATTTTAATTGCTTACTATAGTGATTCAATACAGTGAAATTTTAAATACAAGTCACTTAAGTCCTAATCCAACACAATTAGCAAATTATTGTGATGGATGGATGGATGGAAGACTAATTAAGGCGTTAGGGACGAAAAGTGCTAACTCAGTTTTAAATTTGAAAGACCAGTTCGAACCATTAGATGAGAATAGACCACAAATTTATAACATTTTGTATAAAACAGTGTGTGGATAAAAACTCATTTGGAAGTGTGAGTGATGTGACTTGGCGATTTTTCGTAAAAAAAAAAGGCACAACAACCATGTGACTAATTTGTGCCCAAATTAGATAAAGAAGTATTTATTGGCATTAACAGGTTTTGGTACGATGCCCAGCGCGTTGGTAGGCGAGATGTTCCGCGGAAACGCGCGCAGCACTGGCTCGGCGGTTGCCATGACGACGGCCTGGCTCATCGGCTTCGGCGTTGCGACCGGTTTCGGCTCGATGGTCCGTGTGTTCGGCGGTGACGTCACCTTCTGGATGTTCGCCTTCTCCTGTATCGTCGCTTTCGTGTTCACGCTGAAGTTCGTTCCCGAGACGAAGGGGAAGACCCTGAACGAAATCCAAGAGATTTTGGGAAGTCAATGAACGGACTAAATTCAATTTCGCTACGACTATTCGGCGTCTAGAAGTCGGATTGTATTACAGTTTATAAGTATAATATAATTTTGTGTTGGTACCTGGCCGTACCTGGCACGTCTGATCGATCTGACAAGGTCACCCACAACGCCCCGCATTGAGATTTTGAATATAGAAATGTTATAATTAATATGAGGATACGTTATAGACTGTTTTAATTAAAAATTATTTGTTATAGATTAGGTTAGAATCTCACAACGAAAGTCATATGCTATAAGCTGTATAGCCGAAAATAGTGTAAAAATGTAGGTACGTAATGTAAGAAAATAATGGTACTGTAAAAGAACTTTATGTTACCATTATAATACTCTATGTTTAACAAGTAACTTCGTAGTAATGAAAGAGGATGAAATCTAAAAATGTTTAAATATTACTGAGTGTTTATTTTAAAAAACAGAAATCTTTTGATATTGTCTACTACAATCTTCTACATCCTCGGATAGACAAAACCTCAAAATCAAAGGTTTATACATTATATTTATTGAGAATTGTATTACAAATAGTTTGATCGTAAATTATAAATCTTAAAATGTATTGTTTTGTTTTGTAAATGTGTAATTCCTAATAACATTTTTATATTTTTTTAAACGACTAGGTAATTGATCTGGTATGTGATAATTTTTTTTATAATTAACTGCTCTTAACTGTTTTAAAAAAATCGTAAAAAGTGTCTTATAATAAAAGTTAATACAAAACTAAAATTCAGTTCATATTTTTCTTGCAATATAAAAAAAAATAACTTTTTATCATTTGTGTCAAGGCATAAAAACTGTATCAACTCTGCTATGGTAAGTCATTAAAGAAGTTACATTAGTGAATAGCAGTGATGTCTAGAATGCATCAGTTTGCATCGAGCGTTTTCAGAAGATCACATACAAAGTGATCAGGATTAATCTATGTTGAAGAAATTTAAAATGATCTCAGCAATCCATTCAGTACGTGTCACGTCCACGATTTCATCCGTACCACGTGTAATGCCTTTATAACACCGTGACTGTCCGCATGTGAAGAGTTTTGTCGTTGAATATTTATAAAATATGCTGAGGATCCAGAATTCTTAGAAAGAGTTTTATGGTCAAACGAATCAAGCGGTAAAAGGGTATCTGCATAGAGATAATCGAGAACCAGCACTTAATGAAAGAAGATTACTCTCATTATTCGTAGTTAGCTTGTGGATAAGCATGTTAAATGGTGTAACGTTTAAGGCCCATTTACACGATGCCATTTTATTGTACATAAAATAGCAATAATTGAATGCAATAAATTAAGCGCAATAATTGACCATCAAGAATCGTAAGCTGTATCGTACTGTTTACACGCGGACATAGTAGAAAAAATTGAATGCGATAATTGAATGCAAGTCTTGACAAGAAATAATTGCAAATGTCTTTTGTTTGCACCAATGCTTGGGAGATTATTGCTTTCAAGTTTTGACTTGTCTAAAAACATGCTTGTATGATCGTGTACCATTTATTGGCGTGTTGCTTCAAGTATTGCACGTATTTGCGTTGACAAATTTTTCATTCAAGTGTTGAAGGATTTATAAAGGGCTGTTTATATTTTTAGAAAATGGGTCAATAATAAAGGCCCATTTACATGGTGCCAGTTTCTTGCTTGTTGTATACAATTAAATTGAAGCAATAAATGAGTTGCATGGTCTAAACAACAAATTGTCTAAACAATTATTGCGCGCAATTTATTGCATTCAATTATTGCTCTTGTATGTACAAGAAAATGGCATCGTGTAAATGGGCCTTTAGTGTTCAAGTTAGATTTTGTCGATTTAATATATTTCATCGAGATTAATCCATTTTTTCATCCAAATTTTTTTTACGATCTTTTCTCAATATTTCTTGCCTCAAAAGAGCAGGAACGATTAAACATCCTCACTCATCGCACTCATGTTTGCAAAGGAAGATAGAATGCAATTTAATACAAGAATTGCTTGAGAAATTATTGTGTGTGCTGTTTACACCAAGAAAAGTTTTGAAACAAAACTTGAAGCAAAACTTGTTCAATAGTCAAGAATGTTATGTGTTGTTTAGATCATGCAAATCATTTATTGCTTCAATTTAATTGTGTACAACAGGCAAGAAACTTGTATCATGTGAATGGGCCTTTACTGTAATAGGGCCACAGCTTTGGCTGTTGTTGTAGACAAGTACCACGACCTCACAGAAGGCCGGTGTGAAGTGAAAGTGTCATACTTTTGCGTTTCGTTGGTTGAGTGAGGTAGTCGGGGCCCACTTTATTAAAAGGTGGCAACGCATCTGCGGGTGATAAAAATGTCCATGGGCGGCGTTTATCACTTAACATCAGTTGAGCCGCCAGCTCGCTTGCCATGTTCTCTCATGCAAATAAAAATGTCTCATTCAGTACTACCAGATTTGAACAACTTACTATGTTTCATCGGGTCAGGAAATTCGCCACGCTGCAACAAATATTAAAAATAGTTGTTTCTTCTTAGGTGTTTAGAAGATGTATGTAGGCGCCAGTAAATGATAAAAAGGTTCTTTTGCTACAAAATCTTTATGTACGATAAAGGAAAGTAGTGAGTAGTGCGTTACAATTTTAAAAAGTCCCAGTCATCTCTCTGCCGCGTATAATGTCGCCTCGGCTGTTTCCGATGAACACGTTCCATTCCTGGGTATGAACGGTTGCGTTCATAACATGCTCCCGCCCGGGCTGAAGGTGTTGTTATAAGCTCGCACGATCGTGCCCTTCTTGATGCGCAGTTCGGCCACCCTGCCAACAGAATCGCCGCCGTTGAAGATTCGAGTGACTCGACCCATGAGCCAAAGAAGAGGTTGGTTGCGGTCTCTAACCGAGACCAATGACCCAACTTGCAGCTGGCCTGTAGATTGAGTCCACTTGGGTTTTGTTTGCAGATTAGAAATATACTCATTTGAATAACGCTGCCAAAAATGTTGTCGGAGAGCTTCGATTCTCTGATATCTTTGAAGCCAGTTTAGTTTTGTCTCCACTAAGTTTGCATGCGGTGCAGCCAATAGAGGTCGTCCGATAAAGAAGTGCGACGGGGAAAGGAATGATAGGTCAGATGGATCTGTTGATAAAGGTGTGAGAGGACGTGAGTTCAAAATTGCCTCTATTTGCGCTAGACGCGTAGCCGTCTCCTCATAATTGAAATAAGTTAAAGAGAGAACTCTATGTAGGTGATGCTTTACTGATTTTACTGCGGCTTCCCATACACCGCCAAAGTGGGGACTGTACGCTGGGATGGTTTTGAATTTGATGCCTTGATTGAATAATTGAGATTGCACATACTCTTCGCATGTGTTAAGAAATCGAGCAAGATCATTGCCTGCCCCAACAAATGTAGTGGTGTTGTCTGAGTATATCGTAGCAGGCTTCCCCCGACGAGATATGAATCGGTTTAGAGCCGCCAAAAAAGCCTCCTTGCTGAGATCCGTGACAAGCTCAAGGTGCACCACCTTTACTGCGAAACGTATATACGCAAATATAAGATTTCGTCTCCCTCTGCCCTTACGGTCAAGTATCAATACTGGCCCAGCATAGTCGATACCTGTTGTAAGGAATGGGTATTCTAGTTGTGTTCTTTCACGCGGCAAATCACTCATGATAGGTTGGACAGAAGTGGCTTTAAGCCTATGACAGCGAATACAAGAATGGACAATTTTTATAGATAAGTTCCTTCCATTTAAAGGCCAATACTTTTGTCGTATGCTACACAATAGGAGCTGGGGATCTCCATGCATGAGTATTTTATGTTGTAAGCTGAATAACATTTTAGTGAGATGATGTTTAGAGCAGAGAAGTATAGGATGTTTGATGTCGTACGCATAAAATGAATAAATTTTTTAAGCGGCCACCGACTCTTATAAGATTTTCAGAGTCTAAAAAAGGTGATAACGATTTCAATTTACTATTTGTATGTAACATTTTATTATATTTTAAAGCAGAATAGTCTGCACTAAACATTTCCTTTTGAGCATGATGTAGAATTATTATGCGAGAAGATTCTAATTCAAGAAATTTAAGCATTGTATATATTTTGTCTTTATGTTTACAATTATAAATGAATCGTTTTACGTATGCTAAAATTCTAAATATTTTATTAAAATTACTATGTTTATGTATAAGATTTAGGATTCTATTTTGATCATTGTTTTCTGTTGATATTGTTGTGAGTGTATATGAGGAACTGTCTGATATTTTGTGTGTTTTTGGAAACTGTATGCGTTTTTCGTGTAAAAATTCTGGTCCAGACCCCCACAAGGAAGCCGTGCTAATGGAGTCAGCCTTCACCCTGCGAGAGACCAGGTCTGGAGGTTTGTTACCTTTTTATTTAAATCAAGATTGATTAAAAAGTATAAATTATCATTAACAGAATCCCAGTTGAGGCCTAATGTTTTTGAGGGTGAACTTTTATTCAACTTTGTTAAATTAAGTTGATTATTTGAGTCAACTTTGAAGTCAGTGACAGCCTGTAACACTTCAAGATTTTTCCATTTATGTAAATTAATAATTTGTTGTAGAGACTTCTGTGAGGGTACCACGTGAATGGCCCTGTACATTTTTTCGATATCGGCTGAAACTACTATTTTATGTTGCCTGAATACGTTTCAGAAGATAAAGATTGAAAAAATAAGAAGAATAAGATTGAAAAAATGTCATCTTGTACAGTGCGCCCTACGATTTGAATGTAATTAAATGATTTTTTAGATGCAGTCGTGGCGGAAACATCAAAGACTACGCGTAGTTTGGTTGTGTTTGATTCACGTATAACACCATGATGCGGTAAAAAGATATTTGGCGAGGTAGCTCAATTCGCTTAAAACGACACTTTAATTCTTTAATTTGTTGGACACTTAAATTATCACAACCTTTTAACAAATTTAGATACTGTGAAAATTGTGTACACTTTGATTTTATTGATGCCCGTTTTTTGATTAGATCTCTTAAAT